CATCAAGGAAAAGGAAGCTTCTGCTGTCTTACAAAAGGAATTAGACTTATGGGAAGCAGAACATGGCGAATTCTACGCCGAGGGTATCAAGCCAACCTTCTCCCCATTGAAATCTAGAACTTACGATTCATACTGGAATTGGGCTAGACAAGATGTTTTGTCCATGTACTTTGATATCATCTTTGGTAAATTAAGTTCGATTGATCGTGAAACAATTAACCAATGTATTCAAATTATGAACCGTGCTAACCCAACCTTAATAAAGTTCATGCAATACCATATTGACCATACTCCAGAATATAAAGGAGAAACTTACAAATTGGCCAAGAGATTAGGTCAACAATTAATTGACAACTGTAAACAAACTATGTCTGTTGACCCAGTTTACAAGGATGTTAGTAAGATCACTGGTCCATCAACTACTGTTGATGCCAAGGGTAAGATCAACTATCAAGAAGCCAATAAGGAATCAGTTAGAAAGTTCGAACAATACGTTTATGAAATGGCCCAAGGTGGTGCTATGACTAAACAAAATTCTCAACCAACAATTCAAGAGGACTTAGCCAGAGTTTACCAGGCTATTACCAAACAAGCATCTAAGAACACTAAATTGGAAGTTGAACAATTATACACTCAATTAATTAATTACGTCGAAGCTTCGAATGAAATAGAGGTCTCCAAATCAACTAAATCTTTCTTACCAACTGGTGCAAATACTCCAACCGAGGAAGATGAATTGTCTACTTCTTCGGGTACTTCAGAAGATGACGAAATCGCTTCATTACCAGATAAGACTTCTATCTTAGAACCAGTTTCTTCCACCATTCCATCAGAAACTATCCCATTCTTAAACTTACAAAGAAAGTCAAAGTCAGGCCGTTGGGATTACGACCGCAAATTATCCTCCATTTACTTGGATGGATTGGAAAGTGGTGCCGTCAACGGTTTAACATTCAAAGACAAGTATGTCTTAGTTACTGGTGCAGGTGCTGGATCTATTGGTGCTGAAATCTTACAAGGCTTAATCAGTGGTGGTGCCAAGGTTGTTGTTACTACTTCTCGTTTCTCTAAGAAGGTTACAGAATACTACCAAACTATGTATTCCAGATATGGTGCTGCTGGCTCCACTTTAATTGTTGTTCCATTCAACCAAGGTTCCAAACAAGATGTTGACTCCTTAGTTGAATACATTTACAACGATCCAAAGAAGGGTGGTTTAGGATGGGACTTGGATGTTATCATTCCATTCGCTGCTATTCCAGAAAATGGTAATGGTATTGATAACATTGATTCTAAATCCGAGTTTGCTCACAGAATCATGTTGACCAACTTGTTGAGATTATTAGGTGCTGTTAAATCCAGAAAGACTACTGATACTAGACCAGCTCAATGTATCTTACCACTTTCTCCAAATCACGGTACCTTCGGTTTCGATGGTTTGTATTCCGAATCAAAGATCTCTTTAGAAACATTATTCAACAGATGGTACTCTGAAGATTGGGGTGCTAAATTGACTGTTTGTGGTGCTATTATCGGATGGACCAGAGGTACTGGTTTAATGGGTGGCAACAATATTATTGCCGAAGGTATTGAAAAGTTAGGTGTTAGAACTTTCAGTCAAAAGGAAATGGCGTTCAACATCTTGGGTTTGTTGACACCTGAAATCGTTCAATTGTGTCAAGAAGAACCTGTTATGGCTGATTTGAATGGTGGATTACAATTCATCGACAACTTGAAGGAATTCACTTCTAAATTGAGAAGTGATTTAACTGAAACTGCTGATATTAGAAGAGCTGTTTCCATTGAATCTGCTATTGAACAAAAGGTCATCAATGGTGATAATGTTGATGCTAACTATTCTAAGGTTACTGTTCAACCAAGATCTAACATGAAATTCGAATTCCCAACCTTGAAGTCTTATGAAGAAATTAAAAAGATTGCTCCAGATTTAGAAGGTATGTTAGACTTAGAAAATGTTATTGTTGTTACCGGTTTCTCTGAAGTTGGTCCATGGGGTAACTCTAGAACTAGATGGGAAATGGAAGCTAATGGTGAATTTTCCTTGGAAGGTTGTATTGAAATGGCCTGGATTATGGGCTTGATCAAGTACCATAATGGTAAATTGAAGGGTAAGCCATATTGTGGTTGGGTTGATACTAAGACCGAACAACCAGTCGATGATAAGGATATCAAGAGTAAATATGAAGAAGAAATCTTAGATCACTCCGGTATTCGTTTGATTGAACCAGAATTGTTCCACGGATATGATCCAAAGAAGAAGCAAATGATTCAAGAAGTTGTTATTCAACACGACTTAGAATCATTTGAAACTTCTAAGGAGACTGCAGAACAATATAAATTAGAACATGGCGATAAGTGTGAAATCTTTGAAATTCAAGATTCCGGAGAATACACTGTCAAATTGTTGAAGGGTGCTACCTTATATGTACCAAAGGCTTTGAGATTTGACCGTCTTGTTGCTGGTCAAATTCCTACCGGCTGGAACGCTCGTCGTTATGGTATTTCTGAAGATACCATTAACCAAGTTGATCCTATTACCTTATATGTTTTGGTCTCTACCGTCGAAGCCTTATTGTCTGCCGGTATTACCGATCCTTATGAATTTTATAAGTATGTCCATATTTCAGAAGTTGGTAACTGTTCTGGTTCTGGTATGGGTGGTGTTTCTGCTTTACGTGGTATGTTTAGAGACAGATACGCTGACAAGCCAGTTCAAAATGATATTTTACAAGAATCTTTCATCAACACTATGTCTGCTTGGGTTAATATGTTGTTATTATCATCATCAGGTCCAATTAAGACACCTGTCGGTGCCTGTGCAACTGCTGTTGAATCGGTTGATATCGGTATTGAAACCTTATTATCCGGTAAGGCTAAGGTTGTTATTGTCGGTGGTTACGATGATTTCCAAGAAGAAGGTTCTTATGAATTCGCTAATATGAATGCTACTTCTAACTCTAACAAGGAATTTGAACATGGAAGAACACCAAAGGAAATGTCAAGACCAGCTACTACTACCAGAAATGGTTTCATGGAAGCACAAGGTTCTGGTATTCAAGTCATTATGAATGCTGAATTAGCAATTAGAATGGGTGTTCCAATTTACGCTGTCTTAGCTATGACTGCTACTGCTTCTGATAAGATTGGTAGATCTGTTCCTGCTCCAGGTAAAGGTATTTTGACTACTGCTCGTGAACATCACGGTGACTTGAAGTACCCATCTCAAATGTTGAATATCAAGTACAGATCTCGTCAATTGAAACAAAGATTGCAACAAATCAAATGTTGGGAAGAAGGTGAAATTGAATACTTGAATGAAGAGGTCGAATTAGCTAAGGAAGAATTTGGTGCCGAATTTTCTGAGAGCGATTTCTTCCGTGAACGTACAGAAGAAATTCACCGTGAAGCTAAACGTCAATCTTCTGACGCTAAGAAACAATGGGGTAACAATTTCTACAAGTCTGATCCAAGAATCGCCCCATTGAGAGGATCTTTAGCTGCCTTCGGTTTGACTATCGATGACTTAGGTGTTGCTTCGTTCCATGGTACCTCTACAGTTGCTAACGATAAGAACGAATCAGCCACTATCAACAAGATGATGAAACATTTGGGTAGAAGCGAAGGTAACCCAGTGTTCGGTGTATTCCAAAAGTACTTAACTGGTCATCCAAAGGGTGCTGCCGGTGCTTGGATGTTGAATGGTGCTATTCAAATCTTGAATTCAGGTCTTGTTCCAGGTAACAGAAATGCCGATAATGTCGATAAGATCTTAGAAGAATATGAATACGTGTTATATCCATCTAGATCTATTCAGACTGATGGTATTAAAGCTGTTTCTGTCACCTCTTTCGGTTTTGGTCAAAAGGGTGCTCAAGCAATTGCAGTCCATCCAGATTACTTATTTGGTATCTTGGACCAAGCTACCTATGAATCCTATGCTACTAGAGTTACCGCCCGTAACAAGAAAGCATACCGTTACATGCACAACGCTATTACCCGTAACACTATGTTTGTTGCTAAGGAACATGCTCCTTACGGTGACGAATTGGAACAACCAGTTTACTTGGACCCTCTTGCCCGTGTTGAAGTTAACAAGGATGAATTGACTTTCTCCAATAAGTCTGTGCAATCTTCAAAAGCTTATGTTAGTGAAGTTGCTGATTCCACCGGTAAAGCTTTAAGCTCATTAAACAAATCTTCTAAAGGTGTTGGTGTTGATGTCGAATTACTCTCAGCCCTTAACTTAGAAAATGAAACTTTCCTTGAAAGAAACTTTACTGCTGCAGAACGTGCTTACTGTGATAAGTCCTCATCTCCACATGCTTCTTATACCGGTACTTGGTCTGCTAAAGAAGCAGTTTTCAAGGCCTTAGGTGTCAAATCCCAAGGTGCCGGTGCCTCTTTAATTAATATCGAGATAACCCGTGATGACAACGGCGCTCCACAAGTTAAATTGAACGAGGGTGCTAAGAAAGCCGCTGACAGTGCTGGTGTCAAGAAGATCAACGTTTCTATTTCTCATGACGATTTCCAAGCCACTGCCGTCGCTTTGAGTGAATTCTAAGATTATTAAATACTTTGGTTTTATTTAAATTACATATGTATAGAACATTATTAATAAAGATACAATCTAACTAAATTCGTGATGATTCCATGGTGAATCCATTACTTGCGAGTAGATATTCTTTACAACATCCTTGATTAAGCTATCTAATGATTTGTTGATATCAGAAAATAGTCGTGCGATACTCAGCCTTTGTCTCGGCTGAGAGATTTCTTTACCCACACATAATCTATCGAATAATACACGAATCCTTGGTTTCTTTATCTGTCAATTAGCTATAGAAGGATTAGTTATTTTCGAATTGATTGAGCTGAATTGATCAATTATATAAATATAATGTCTCAGGACGATAATAGTATGCGAAATGATGAAAATTTAGACGAAATAAAACTTGAGGAACCAAAACAGACCGTGAATGGCTCTGAGAAATCAAGCAGAATCTAACGAAAAGAATGAACATGAAGCAGAGGTTAATACCAAAGTGGAAGAGAAAAATTTAGCCGGGGAGTCAGAAACTGGTCTGAAAGAAGCAGATAATGGAGATCATGGATCGGAAAATGCTGCGATTGTATCAGGAAATCCCGAAATTGAAGTTAATGATGATGACAGCGCTTTAAATACGCCGATTGAAAGACAAAATGAATCGATGGAGTCTACTAGTTCACCACAACTGCGGGTTGCGTCAACCTCAATCTCTTCTCGTACACCTACATCGACACATAACCGTCGCCAATCGATTATGTCCGTGAGTTCTAATGCCACGGTGGATAATACACAGATATTCAAAAAGGTTTTTGAGAGCATTTTATCCAGTAAAGATGCAAAAAAGAATGAGGCTCTTAAGTCAGCAGTGCAGAAGGGTCTTGATGTAATCAACTCCGGATCTAAAGATTACCTCACGATACTAAGTGCGATTAAGATAACTTGCGAGAAGGCAAATAGTGAGTTGAAAGCTAAAGCTATTGATCTCTTCCTTAAATTGTTTGATTATGCTCAGATCGATGATGAAAGAGAAAAAGTAGAATTAACTGATTCATCTGTCGATATAATCTCATCATGCTTTGAAGGTGAAGGTACGGATGCTGAAGTTGAGCTACAAGTTGTACGTGCATTGATGCATTGTATTCTTCTTATGCCTTGCCATGGTGCATCATTGTTGAAAGCAGTGAGACAAATATACAACGTCTTTATCTTTTCGTTGAATGCAAGAAACCAATCAGTAGCACAAGGAATATTGACACAAGTTATTGCGGCCATCTTTCAAAGAATTAATGATGCATCTGTCATGAGGAATACATCTTCTAAGTCAGACAGTACTTCGAATATCAAATCACCGTTAAACACGAGCGAAGAGGTTGTTAATTCTGTGGAAGAAACCACTCAAGAAAGGTTAACTTTAGAAAACTTAGAAAAAATTAATGATGATACTAATGACAATGATCGTGTTAACGAAGCTAACAAGGCTACTGAAAAAGACGAAGACTTGGTAGTTAAGGACGCGTTTTTAATTTTCAGAGCAATGTGTAAACTTTCAGTAAAACCATTAGAATCTGATGCGTTGGATATGAGGTCACACTCAGTTAGATCAAAATTACTATCTTTGCATATTATTCACACTGTACTCAAAGAGCATATTGAGATATTTTTGAGTCATGATGTGGTTATCTTATCTTCTCATTCCAACGAACAAACTAGGTTAATCAATGCAGTAAGACAATATGTTTGCTTATCATTATCTAGAAATGCGGCCTCATCTCTTGCACCTGTTTTTGAACTTTCATTAGAGATATTCTGGTTGATAATTTCGAATTTACGTTCTGAATTTAAGAGGGAAATTCCTGTATTTTGGGACGAAATATATTTTCCGGTAGCAGAAATGAAAACTTCAACTCCACATCAAAAGAGGTATTTACTCTCTATTATTGAGAAGTTATGCAATGATTCCAGATGTATTATAGAATTTTATTTGAATTATGATTGTGATAGCTCTATGCCTAATGTTTGTGAAAAAGTCATTGATTACTTAACGAAGCTTTCCTTAATACGAATTGAAGTAACTCCGCAACAAAAGCAGGCATACATTAACAATAGAAGAAAAGGAATATCGGTATATGATATTAGTAAAATTGCTAACTTGACCAGTAGCACTATGGCTTCCAAACCACCTGAACCAGAAATATATAATAGTTTCCCGTTAGAATATGCATTAAAAATGACCTCTATTAGTTGTTCGGTTGCATTTTTACGCTCCTTATACTCTTGGGCTCAAAAGGGAATTCGTAATAATACAAAATTAGGAAACGGTACGATGAATCAAAATGGATCACACTTGTCTCTTAATATGGAGAAAACCAGAAGTGGCGGTGAATCAAGTATATCTACTATGAACAATTCCCGTAATGCATCCTTTGTTAATGGTTCCAACACAGATGCATTTAGCGAATCTGATGACCCTGAGCAATTTGAAAATTTGAAACAACGTAAGAAGGCTTTCTTGGAAGGTGTAAGACAATTTAATCAAAAACCTAAGAAAGGTCTTAAGTATTTCTTGGAACAAAATTTCATTGCTTCTGATGAACCAAAAGATATAGCAATATTTTTGCTTGAAACAGATGGTTTGGATAAAGCTGCCATAGGTGAGTTTTTGGGCGAAGGTGATGAAAAAAATGTTGCTATAATGCACGCTTTCGTTGATCAAATGGACTTTACTAATAGTGGATTCGTGGATTCAATGAGAAGATTTTTGCAATCTTTCAGATTACCAGGTGAAGCGCAAAAGATTGATAGATTTATGTTAAAATTTGCTGAAAGATATCTTTTAGGGAACCCTACAGTATTTTCTAATGCAGATGCAGCTTATGTATTAGCATATTCAGTTATCTTACTTAATACGGATTCACATTCACCTCAAATTAAAGTTAGAATGACTCTCGATAATTTCATTATGAATAATGCTGGTATTGATGATGGTAAAGATTTACCCCGTGAAATGTTGGAGAAGATTTACGATGAAATCCAAGTAAACGAGATTAAGTTACAATCAGAACAACATGCAGCCTTATTAGCAGGTGATATTAATATGCCACAGTCTACTCCGTCTATGGGTTTCTTTGGAGGTCGTGATTTAAACCGCGAAGCTTACATTCATGCTTCAAAGGAAATGTCTACTAAAACTGAAAAGTTAGTAAGGAATTTGGGTAAAAGATTAAAATCTGATGACTCTAACGGGGGTGTTTTTTATGCAGCCTCTCATGTGCATCACGTTAAATCAATCTTTGATACATTATGGATGTCTATATTAGCTGGATTAACACCGCCATTTAAGGAATATGATGAAGAATACATCACTAAAATGAGTTTAGAAGGAATTAAATTATCCATTCGTATTGCTTGCATGTTTGATTTAGATTATGCTAGAACTTCATTTATTGGTGCCTTGGTTCAATTTCAAAATTTGAACAACTTTCAAGAGATGAAGACAAAGAATGTTGATGCAATTTATATAATGCTTGAATTAGCTGTATCGGAATGCAATAGCTTAAAATCTTCATGGATACAAGTGTTAACTTCTATTTCACAATTAGAAAGATTACAGCTAATTGCTCAAGGCGTTGATCAAGATTCTATTCCTGATGTTTCCATTGCAAAATTAGTAAACAGATCTTCTATCGATAGCACCGCAGCAAGTGCTGGATTTTTCAGCCTGTTTACTTCTTCAACAACTGCTTCACAAACCGCGTCAAATAAATTTCATAATCAACATTTGAACCAGAATGTTGCTCAATTATTAACTAGAACTGAGCTTGAAGTTGCTATGGATAAAGTGTTCACGAACAGTGCTAATTTATCTGGTGAGAGTATCGTTGATTTCGTAAAGGCCTTGTCTAAAGTTTCCTCGGAAGAAATCGAGTCTTCGGGTCAGAGTACAAATCCAAGAATGTTTTCATTGCAAAAGGTGGTAGATATTTGTTATTATAATATGAGTCGTATTCGTCTTGAGTGGTCTCAATTATGGTCTATCATGGGTGAAACTTTCAACAAAGTAGGCTGTCATAGTAACCTGGCGGTTGTATTCTTTGCTTTGGATTCATTGAGACAATTATCAATGAGATTTTTAGAGATAGACGAATTATCGCATTTTAAGTTTCAAAAAGAGTTTTTGAAACCTTTTGAACATATTATTCGTCACAATGAATCATTAGAAATTAAAGACATGGTCTTAGAATGTATTAATAACATGATTTTAGCTAAAGCAAATAAGATAAAATCAGGCTGGAAAACTATATTTGGCGTTTTAACGGCTGCAGCTAAAGAAAATAAAGAATCTTTAGTCCTTAAAAGTTTTAAGATGGCTAATTGGATTAATAAAGAATACATTCATGAGGTGCGCTCCCAAGAGTCATTTGCCGATCTCGTTGTTTGTTTCACTGAATTAGCAAAGAATGAACGTTTCCAGAAAGTTAGTTTGTTAGCTTTAGATGTGTTACTGAAATTAATTACCCAAATTGCTGGATTCAGCTTCAAAACTACAGATAACGAAACAGAGACATTGGCTGTAAATAAAGATGATGTTGATCAGCAATCGGTAGTGAAGAATGACAATCTTGTAAAGTTGTGGTTTCCTGTTTTGTTTGGATTCCATGACATTATTATGACTGGTGGAGAATTGGAAGTCAGATCTAGAGCATTGAATTCTTTATTCGATATTTTGTTACATTATGGAGAATATTTTGAATACGATTTTTGGGATCTTATTTGTCACCAATTATTATTCCCTATATTCAGTGTTTTAAGTAATCATTGGGAGTTGCATAATGTTGATAATAATGATAAATTATCTGTGTGGTTATCTACAACATTAATTCAAGCGTTGCGTAACATGATTACTTTATTTACTCATTATTTCGATGCATTAAGCAGAATGTTAGGTGGTTATTTGAATTTACTTACATCATGCATTTGCCAGGAAAACGATACAATTGCTAGAATTGGTAGATCATGTTTGCACACCTTATTAATAGATAATGCAAGCAAATTCAATAGCGAGCAATGGGAAAAGATCACTAATGCATTTTCTGATTTGTTTGATTTAACCACAGCAAAGGAATTGTTTACATTAGATCCATTGCGTGCCAAAGACCAACAATCACCAAAGGAGGAAGAGTATGGAATTGAAGAATTCGGCGACGAAAGTAATACCGAGTCGCCAAGGAGCACGTCGTCCCGTATTTTCGACGACACTGAAGCTAGATTGCGCAAGTCTAAGGAGAAGTCTTCGATTGTGGTGAAATGTGTTTTACAATTGTTAATGATTGAAACTTTATCCGAGTTATACGAAAATGACATGTTTTATGAATCCGTTCCTCATGACTTTTCTGTCAAGTTGGCCACATTGTTACACGACAGTTATGAATTTGCCAGAAAGTTTAACGATGACTACGATTTGAGAGTCAGATTGTGGAATGCCGGAGTTATTGAAAGGCTTCCAAACCTTTTGAAGCAGGAATCTAGTTCGGCCGCTGTTTTCATCAATATCATGTTTAGAATGTACTGTGACGACGACAAGACGAATACCCATTCTAAAAAGTCCATCATGGACTCCGTTATCCCATTATGCAATTCAATAACCGAGAGATACTCCGAATTCGACGAAACCAACCAACTGAGGAACATTACCACTTGGAAACCAGTCATTATCGAAATCTTCCAGGGCTTTGTCGAGCTTGACGAGGATGATTTCCTCGAATACACTCCACATATGTACCAATTGACTTTGAAACTCTTCTCGAAGAGCATGACTCCCGACTTAAGATCGGCAGTTAAGATATTCTTTGCCAGAGTTGGTGACACCTTCATTACTACTAGAAATACGTGATGTACTACGTTTACAATGTCATGGCAGATTCATTTATACAACCTCCATTTTGATTTTAATATTCCTCTGCCGGAGATACCTGAAATGTCACGTACAGTGGATATTTCTTAATTTCCTATTATATCTTCTATATAGCTACTTAGTTTATTGTAATATACTGCTTTTTACTTAACTTAA